GTCAGCTCACTGCCATGTGCAAGCTCCCCTCTACACCCTGGTCCTAGGACATGGTTGGGGGGGGGCGCAATGGGTCTGGGCCCAAAGTGGTGGGGGGGAAGGGAGAGGAATGGGGGGGAGGAATGGCCCCAGACCTGAAGGGGGGGGCAATGCAGGCTTCTGTCCTTGCCCCCTCCCATCCCCCACCCCCCATCATGCTTGATGGGCAATTTGCTAGTGTGGTTCATAAATGTCACTGCTACTGTAGACTAATTATATAGGAGCTGTAAGTTGGATAACTTGTACTTCCATTCTTCTCTTTAAGTTGGCTACCCACAGCCAGAGCATGGCTCCATAGCCCTCCACTCACAAGATTCTTTGTAATGACCAGTCCCATCACTGAAGGTTTATTTATATAAACCTCTGTCTATATTTTATAACCATCTCTAGCCTGCACCATTGTTGACAAAGCAGAGGCAGGCTGTAGTTTTGCAGCTGAACCCAGGTTGCTAGAGACAGTCTGGACATTAGTTTCCCAGTGGAATGAGGACATCCAGCTCTGCATTTGGGTCTCAAGAAAACAATTTGGAACCTAGAATGGGTCAGTTATACAGTCCCCAAATAAATAATTTGGTTATGTATTCTATGGTTTGGGTGACTGGAGGCTGAATCATTCTAAGGGGCAATTATTAGTGACAAGGTTGAACAAAAAAACACCTAGCTCAATACTTTTGAATTCTGGGTTAAATCAGATCAGGATCCAGATCCAGATTTGAACAGTGCCAATGGTTCCTACTTCTATACTGGACCAAACAAAAACCTGGATGCATATGCCAGCACTCTGAGCACCTCCACTTTGGGGAAAGTATCCATTACAATCTTAACTTTGTGCTGACGCTCATCTTGAATTGTCATCAAGACTGAGTACTTGTGCACTGAGCCTAATCCTTTAGGCAAGAAAGAAGTCAGGTTATAAAGACTGGTTTTATAACAAAAGCACAGACAAGCTATTGATGGCTGGGGTGTTGCAGGAAGCATTAGGGAAAGGAAACTGGAACCCAACATGGCAGCCATAGACATACACATATTTGAGGAGGTGATTTGCTCAAGGCAAATATGCCCAAACTTACCTTTTTATGGCTTTGTAGCAAATGATGACAACTACAATGAGGAACACTAGCGTGGCACAGCATACTGCAATGATAATAATCAGGCCTGGCCACCAGGTCCCCTCAGGCGGGCAGTAGGTAGACTTTGTAGCTGTAAAAGATAACATGAAATACATATATGAGTTCTCTTAAGTATGCATTTTATAATCAGATATGCTTTATTCTCCTGGAATACAGTATTATTACATCGTGGTCTTAGACATAAACAAAGAAGTTATTTTACATACAGGACCTTGTACTCAATGTGGCTTGAGTACTACGTAGTACAGCAGGTCATCGAGTGCTGGCCACGGCGCTTTGTGCCACTCTGTCATCCACCACCTTGTGCTCAGAGAGAAGGGGGAAGGCACAGATCTGCTGCTAGCCATAATCTCTTTTCTGTGAGTGATTGCCATCTCTTGCAGCAAAGGCTTTCATTTTACAGAGAGGCATCATGCTGATAAGTGTAGGCTTTTAAAAAAATTAGAGAAGGTTTATCTAGGAGAAGTGGCACGACTTCCAGCCAAAGTTAGAGCTGTTATCATCATTATTAACCTTGGATGGAGGGCAGGGTATTGGTTTTAAAAAGAACAGGAGTTCTATTACATTTATTAATTGCTTTTGGAGGACTTGATTTGACAAGCTTTTTAGTTCTACTGCATTTCACTTTGAGACTTTTGGTCAGTGTACACGCGTTGGTGTGTTGCTTATAAAAACATAAACTACAAGAGACATAAAGTTATTGTTAAAGGACTAAATTCTGCCTATAGGCACTACCCAGAGTAAGAAATAACTTGCTCTAGAAATAATATTAAGAGGCGTTTAACTCAGAAGTACTTTTGGAGCTATGAGACACCTAACTACACAGTAGCCTAGTTTACTGTGCAGTAAGCGCACACATCTACACATGCGCGTGCTTACTGCATAATAAAAACCCTTAATCACGCACAAATTTGTTACCAGCAAACTCAATCAAAAGGTTTTATAATTTGGATCTCAACTTTTGGCTCAAAACCATAAGGATACACTTGACTCCATAGATAGAGAGAATAATTTTATTACAGTTCAC